CAGTGAGACCACGGCCAAATGCGCATCTTGCAGAACTGACGAGAGACGACTCAAGACAGATAACAAGAACAAGTGTATTTACAATAAACACATCAGTAACAAGTAACCAACAAGCGTAATCGCGAGGCAGTCAGTCTGGCTGCCCACGCATGCATCCGCACCACACCCGCGCCATTCGTTTCTTCAATCGCTTGCGCCACTGCATTTCAAAGAAAAAACATATTCCAGTCAATAAGCGTGCTGTGCACTAGGCATCTTAATGCACACTGCGAACATCACAAAACTTACGAATGTCCGCCGGTGATTGCGAGGGCCAACGCTTTCGTCTGCAAAATAAGATATTAGTTAGCCTGTTTGCGTCGCCAATTCAAGGTATATTAGTACGAAGAAGTAGGTAAGAGCTAACAACTAACTAGCAGGCACGCAGTTGACATTCACTGCATTCCAGTGTGGTCTTCCAACCTTAGTTTGCTTACATCAAGCACCGAGATCTTGCATCCACTCTTGGCTGCCTCAACTTACTGATCTGCGTCAGTGATCACAGAAGCAGCTTGCACTGATACATCGCATCGCATGCATTACCGAACCACTCGCAACCCTCCCATAGTCACCTGCTAGCAGATCACCATCATCCACATGATCGTCACCTCATAAAACTTCTAACTGCTTGAGGTCTCGCATTTAACAATAATGCCACATTGGATAAAAATGCGCACTCACAAGACATCACTCAGATGCCATCGTTCAAACTATTGTTTCCGTCTGCATTCGTGAGTTGTCTCCCGTCACAGGGCGTCACTCTCGCTTTCGCGGCAATCTCGTCATCTTCAGACGCTCCTCCGTCAAATAACAAGTGGACGGTGGCCCTCACCATGATTATCTTAAAATCACACTCCTCAGCAGACACTTGCGAATTACGAACATCCCATTTGTAGAGATCTGAAAAGCAAATAATTCAAGAAACACTATGGTCAGATGGAATCGAGCGATAAGAATGGACAAGGCGTTCTCTTCGACTCACAGGATTTGTAGAGTTCTGTGTCATCACGACTGACACTTGCTTGTAGGCGAATGATGAATAATGTGATCCAGGCCTACCAATTGTTGTTGCGGCTGACGCCTCCGCCAAGAGCATCCGAGCCTTCATCATCCACGTCTTCCCCGACAGCACAGAAAAGGCCATAATGCACGCATCCATGTCGCTGACAACGACAGAACAGCGTTGCGGACAAATGGAGGAAGAAGCTCTCGCTTTGGTTTTCGTTGTCCGCTGGTTCCACAAACTCATTTATGGCCGCCGATTCACTCTGCTGACAGACCACAAGCCGCTGCTATCAATCTTTGAATCAAAAACAGGCATCCCAGCCCACTCCGCAAACCGCCTGCAAAGGTGAGCATTTATTCGACAGGGTTTTGTCTTCGAAATCCAGCACCGTCGAATAGAGGATTTTGGGCAGGCAGACGCCTTATCACGGCTAACCAGTAACTAGACCACTACCAAGGACGATACCGTCATCGCCGTCATTTGCGTCGACGAAGGTATCAGTCAGCAGATATCTCAAACGGTTAGTGCGCTGCTGGTTTCATGTCTCGACATCAAATGGGAAACGGCGTCGGACAGCACACTACGGCAGGCCATCCATTACGTCCAAGGCAAATGGCCAAAGCGCTCCTCCACTGGAGATCTTTAGCAGTTGTTCCAGCGACGTGATTCCCTCTGCGTTCTAGACGGCTGCTTGATGTTCGGAGAACGCGTTGTGGTGCCCAAATCATTGCGCTTGCGGATTCTTAGTCAATTTCATACTGGTCATTCCGGCATCGGTCGCATGAAGTCTGTCACCCACAGCTACGCTTACTGGCCAAATATGGATCAGCAAATCTCAGACCTAGTCAAGAGTTGCCGCCAATGCCAGCAGGTTGCCAAGAATCCTCCCAAGGTTCCTTCAGTCTCTTGGCCACTACCACAAAAACCCTGGTCACGGATCCATATCGACTTTTCTGAACCGATCAACGGAGTCTCATACCTTGTGCTGGTGGATGCCTACTCAAAATGGCCGGAGATCGTCTCAGTGACTCCCCCCACAACAACCAGAACATAACATGTTTTGTACGGATTTTCAGCCGCCATGGGATTCTGGAAAACACTCACACAGACAACGGATCGCAGTTCACCTCTCAACAATTCAAGGTGTTCTGTCGGCAGCATGCTATTGCACACATGCATTCCCCACCCTACCACTCACATTCAAACGGCCAGGTGGAAATGTTCGTCGACACATTGAAGCGAGTCCAGCTAAAATCCTGTGGGAAAGGAACGACGTTCGTCAAAAGTCTACGGAAGAATTCTGCTTTTGTATCGTACAACACCAAACGAGGCTCTGCCGAATCGACAGTCGCCATCTGAGGCACTCATGAGGCGCAAATTGTGGACAACAAATTCCGCAATGATTCCGGTACAGGACAACCGCCCGGAGCCTCCGAGCACGAAGTATACCATGCCATTTGAAATCGGAACAGCCGTATGCGTTCGAGACTATCGACCATGGCACAGCCCATGGATCGAAGGGACTACTGCACGCCGACACGGCAAGGTCATGTTCGACGTGGCGATAAGTCAAGACACGTGACGGTGGCTCATGGCACGCGATCAAGGAATCGAAACCACCTACGATTGAGAAAAGTATCTGCGACACCAAATCGCCAGACCAGCGTCCCACAGGATGTACTTTTCGACACATTCCAGCTGCCAGCACCGGTAACAACGCTAGTGAAGTCGAACAGAGATCAACTAGCGGCAGACAGGTCTTCACCCCCAAGGCAGAGTAGCCGAAAACAACAGACATCAACACCACTCCAAGGCAAACCAAAGAAGAAGCGTTATTAGCTTTTCAAGGAGGAGAGGTGTTGGGGATCCAGGATTCCCCAAGATTGGTTTCTGAATCCATTTACATTAATTTATTAAAAATTGTTTTGTTGACCTTGACTGGAACTAGTTTCGTTTTTACTTTCGATTTCACTTCCTCTCTGCACGTGGCTGACGTGTATAAAGCTCTCTACACGAGCTCTGGTCTTGTTCTTGTATTAGCCTGTGTAGGTCGGTTCTAGCTTCAGCAAGGGATCTGGTGCCGTTATTTGAGTGGTCTTCTCTTTTGTAACGGGCAAACGTAGCAATTATCAAATAACACCTGAAGAGAATTTAAAATATAGTGAAGAATGCATAAAGAATAACACGTTAACTGTTACATGAGGATATAGTTTGTAGGCTTGTAGATTTTTGTAAATTGTAGTTTTCCGTTTTGACACAACGTTTATTAAGTGGCGGGTGTTAGTCGACTAAGATGACCATATTCTGCCTAAGCGATTTCTAAATATGTGTAGTACAACTACTACTGATGAATTTAATAGTTCCATCTGTCCACTTTCAAGTCGCAGAAGTAACAAATGAAACGGAATAGAATTTGTGGATATTAATAAGACGAGAATAAGTCCGATAGATGCCGGCTATTCAGAATGACAAGTGTTGAAGTTCCCTAAATGCACACGTTAGTTCTGCACAAATATCGCCTTTCATTCCGTAAACAACAAAACCAAAGAATTTCAGCTAATTACTACGCAAGTATCATCTCTTTTTACTTTAAACGCATATAATCAAGAAATGAATTAAAAATCGATAACGAATTATGATAATATTTGAAGTAACAGCAAACTAAATAAAACAGCAAAGAGATTTTAACAAAAGGTTAAAGCTTCAGAGGAAAGAACATTTCTACAAAATAGTCGCTGACAATAAAAGTGTCCGGTAAACCTTCACAAAAGGCCGATACAGATGAATTTTTTTGGCGACTGCAAATTAAAAATCATTTAAGGTTGGCTACTAACAAAATATTGGAATACCAAAGGGACATGTAAGATGAGTAACCAAATAATATTATCAGTTGCATTTTTCTGCTTTATTCGGATGAATCAAAACAAGGAAGAAACATTTTAGCCTACTGAAGTGTTGGTAGATTGCATTTGGTTGTTAGCAAACAAATACGCCATATGTATTTAAAAATATTGTTTCAGTACCCACTGGTGGTAAAATATGGTATGATGCAGCGAGATTTTGGATTAGATTGTGCTAATCAATCAACAGACACCAGTCTGTACCGTTCTTTATCTTTTCCATCATCCCGCCTTCGTCAAGACACACCCCTGAATCTGAGCGTACCCATGACGCTCTTCACAATCACACCCTTCCTCCTCCTCCTCCTCCAATACTAACCCTCCTCCACACTGTCCCGCTATTCTTCTTTCGTAGGCCTGGTTGTCAACTCTGATCTATACACGTCGGCCCTGCCCGCTGGGTACACGACACTTGTTTTTCCACTTAGATTTTGATTTTCAATTGATTTTCAAAATGTTTTTTTTAAATTAGGTAATATGGGTCATTTTAGGTGAATTCACTATGCAGAAATATCACATGAATTTGCATAGATTTGGTCGAAAGCGAATGAACAAAATACCTAATTAGATCACCTTAATTTGACTTAGTTCCGATTAGTAATCTGATTAATTTAATCACACGCTTAAGCATACAAAGGAAGGGCATTTGCAGTATAATTAAAAGCCAAATTACCTATGTATTACTAAATGGAAATGATAAATCCGGACTGCGTTTACAGTTT